CCCTAAAAAAAACCAAAAAAATAATAATCTTTTGATTTGTTTCTGTAGATCATTAGCCTAGGAAGATAGTCCTAAAACAACTAATATTGTCGTTGTTTGGTGCCATTTAGTTCTGACTCATAGTGACCTTGTACAGGTTTCCAGGGAATGACTGGTGGATTTAAACCACCAACCTTGTGGCTGGTTAGCAGTCCACTGCTTATCCTACAGCATAAAATCAGGACTCCAACATAACTAATAGCAAGCAGGTTTTATTATGTGGGCCAACTATGAATGATGTGCAGTGGATGTTAGAATGCTAGGATGAGACGTTTTGGAGGCTAATCTGATAGTAAGTGGTGGCTTGAGGATTTAAACTCACTTCAGTTTGGGTCCAAAATCTACGCTCCTGCCATATCATATACCGTTGTCCCCTAAAATGAGGGCTAAGTAGAAGGTAGGGCTGAAGCCATGAATTTCAATCATGAATACAGATATGACAGCTGAAACAATGAAGTATTTGAGAAAATGTAGAGAATGAATTAAGTAGAAGGATAAAAGCTGTGTTATGGATTAAATCGTATCCCCCTAAAATATATGTTGTAATACTAACTCCCATATCTGTGGATATAATCCCATTTGGTATTAATTTTGTTATATTAATGATGTCACATCAGTATGTTGTTGTTGTTGTGTGCCGTCAAGTCGATTCAGTATAGGGTCTGTCTTAAACCCAATTACAGCTCCCTCCCAACATTTTTTATTGTAGTTTGTGTGAAAGTTTATAAAATAAAATAGCTTTCCATTCAACATTTATGTATATTTTGTTTCATGACATTGGGTGCAAGCCCTTCAATGTAAAAGCATTCTTCCCACTTCTTCCCTGGGTTCTCCATTTTCATTCATCATTTGTTCCTGCTCCTTCCTGCCTTCTGAGATTTTTTGGGGCAAATGCAGCTGTTTTTGTCCTATATGACTGATTGTACTGAGGAATATATTCCTCCTGGTGTATTATTATTCACTATATAAGCCTGTCTATGGTTTGATTGAAAGTTAATCGTTCAAGCCTAGAAGGTGGAGTGAGATCATTTTCTAGGTTTGAAGGGAGTCTAAGGGCCACATTGAAGGTTCCACCAGTCTCTATCAAACCTTGTTATGATTTTGAATTTTGTTCTACATTTTCCCCCCTCTTTCTCTGTCTAGGACCTTCTATTGTGATCCTGAATGGGGTAACTGTGCACCATCCAGTTCTGATCACAGTGTTGTGGAGGCTATGGGTCACACAGTTCATTAATCCTTTGGATTGTTTCCTTGAATCTTTGATTTTCTTCACTCTTTGTTGTGTCAAACGAGGAGCGATCAATAGTTGCATCTTAGACTTTTTAAAATATATATTAAAAGAGTAGATTAGACACAAAGCAAGGAATCAGAGATGGGGGAGACAGCTGCCACACCACAGAAAGACTGTTGAAGAACAGAAGCTGAAAAGAAACAAGGACCTTTCCTTGGAGCCAACAGAGAGAGAAAGCCCTACCGCTAGAACTGGTTCCTTGAATTCAGGCTTCTGGACTCCTAAACAGTGAGAAAAAATTTTTATGTTCATTAAAGCCATTCATGTGGTGTTTCTGTTATAGTAGCACTAAGAAACTATAACAAGGTGAATCAGAAAGCATCTCTGATTTAGGTACAACAGCAGAAAAAGCAAAAAAATTAAAGTTCAACAAATCAGTATCATATTTGTTGTTAAGTGCCGTTGAGTCGTTTTAACCTCATAGTGATCCTGTATAGAGTTTCCGAGGCTGTAATATCATGTGGTTATTATTATTAGATGCCAATGAGTTGGTTCTGACTCATAGCATCCCTATGAACAAAGGACAAAGTGCTATTCAGTCCTGTACTATCCTCACAACTGTTGTTAGTTTGAGCCCACTGCTGCTGCCACTGTGTGAATCCATCTTGTTGGGAGTCTTCCTCTTTTTTGCTGACCTTCCACTTTACTAAGCATGATGTTCTTCTCCAATGGCTGGTTCCTTCTGATAACATGTCCAAAGTAAATGAGATAAAGTCTTGCCACCCTGGCTTCTAAAGAAAATTCTAGCTGTACTTCTTCCCACACAAATTTGTTAGTTCTTCTGGAAGTCCAGGGTACCTTCAATATTCTTCTTCATCACCACAGTTCAAATGTATTGATTCTTCTACAATCTTCCTTATTCACTGTCCAACTTTGATGGATGAAAATACCATGATAGGTCAGTCATACCTTAGTCCTCAAATGGTATCTTCACTCTTGAACACTTTAAAGAGGTCTTTGTAGCACATTTACTTAATGCAATATGTCAGTTGATTTCTTAACTGCAGTTTTCAGGAGTGTTAATTTTGGAATCAAGCAAAATGAAGTCTTTGACAACTTCAATCTTTTCTTTACTTATCAGGTTGTTATTTATTGGCCCAGTTGTGAGAGTTTCATTTTCTTTACACTGAAGTACAATCCATACTGAAGGCTGCAGTCATTGATCTTCATTATTATTTTATGTACTCCTCTTTGCTTCTAGTAAGCAAAATTGTATCATCTGCATATTTCAGATTGTTAGTAAGTCTTCCTTCAATACGGATGCCACGTTCATCTTCATATAATCCAGCTCCTTGGATTATTTGCTTACAAATTATTGAAATCAAAGAAAGTAGCATTAATTGAAGAGATCAATTAACTAGGAAATTGTGTTGTGTCACAGAGGTCAAAGGAGATAGTAGTTTAAGAAGAAGGAAATAATAGAAACAGAATTAATTATCAAAAGTCATAAAAAATAAAGACAGGTTGGTTGATGATGCATGGAGGGGATTGGAACCATGGCAATGAAACGATATACGATAGAATGAATGTAAAACTAATGTTCTCCCATGTAAACTATCAGATAATTCACAATAAAACATTTAAAAAATAAAATAAAATAAAGACAGATTTGCCAATTCATTCAACAAATATTTTGTTGAGAGTCTTCAGTCCTGTGCAAGAGCTGGGGGAACAAATGAAGAAGATATGATATATGCCCTGAAAGAAATGTTAAAGACTAGGGGATGAAAGAGGACTGAGCATAGAAAATGTGTTCAAGATCTAGAAAGAAGTATATCATTGGTGGACTTCAAGAAGGCAATTTGATCAGTGAGACAGGGATGGAAGCTGCAGAGAGTCCTTGAAGGAAGAATGTGGCATGGCAGCAAAACTTTCATCTTAAAAACCTGGCAGCAAAGGCAATCAGAGAAAAAGGATTAGAATGTATGGTGGCAGTAGCATCAAGGGAAGTTGTCACAAGCTTATTCGAGATGTTCTCTTATTAAAGTCTCATAACAGGGGGCTGCTGCATCATAAACTGATGTCAATCCATGGGGAAGAGAGAAAGAAAGATTGAAGGGGAGCAAGTGCAGAGTAAATCTGGTCTATAGACTGCTGGTTTCTTTTTACAATGGTCTGAAAATCCTGAATGAGGCAGGTCAGTGAAATAAGGCATTAGTCTGATAGGGATGAAGGTACCTACATCAGAAAGATGGTCATGAAATCAAAACACTGTAGACTGCCTACCCAACAACTATTCCTTAGCCCTTCCCTTGTTAACAGAATCTCATTGTTTCCATTAACAAGTGACCTCGTATGGAGCTGTAGGAAAGCACTGGACTGCTAACTGCAAGTTTGGCAGTTCAAACCTACCAGCTGCTTTCGGAAACTCTATACAGGGTCACTATGAGTCAGAACTGACTAGATGGCACTTAACAACAACAACAACAACCTGTCTGTATTAAAATCTTGGCCCCTGTACTTGTGTTGATAGCACACAATAACAGGTGGCAAACCTGATTAGCCCAAAGCAATTATGATAATTCCATTCCCATCACCAGTGAAGGCTGTAGGGTGGGGAGTGTGATTAGTTTTGGTCAATGAGCTATGAGAGCAAGTCTGCTGAGCTGCTCCTGAAGAAAGTTCCCTCTTTCTTAAAAGTGGGTACAACCATGCCCACTATTATGTGAGGATGACAGGTACTGAAGCTATCTTACATTATGACCATGAGGGAATTAGTCTGAGGGCAAAATCTAGAAAGAGCGAACCATAAGATGAAAGCAGTTAAAGTTTTTATTTATTTTTAAATAAATAAATAAAAAGTCTTGCATTTTGGGATAGTTTTTGATATACAGAAGTTAGTTACAAAGATAGTACTGAAAGTTCCTATATGCCCTTCAGCCAGTTTCAGTTTCTCTTAATACTATCATCTTTCATTTATCAAAACCAAGAAATCGACAATGTATAAATACTATTAACTAACTTCCATACTTTATTTGGAATCACTAGTTTTTATTTTTGCCTTTTTCTTTAATGTCCTGGATCCAATCCAGGATGCCACATTTATTTAACTATCAAGTTTCTTTAATTGTCTCTATTGACTTTGCTTTTGAATTATTAAATTAGTCTAAAAGAGCCCTGGTGCTGTAATGGTTAAGAACTTGGCTGCTAACCAAAAGGTTGTTGGTCCAAACCCACCCAGAGGAAGACCTGGAGATCTGCTTCTGTTAAGACTACAGTCAAGCACCATTACTGAACATTCTGATCAAAGATTCCATACAAGAATTCTATGGAAAGGGAGAACAGAATTTCAAATCATCATGGACTCCAGACTTTTTGAAGCTATAGAGGGTGGACGAATGAAACACTGCCTGGATAATATGATGAACAAGGCACAGCCCCTACTCTCAAGGGAATATACAGACAGTCACAGTGTAGAGTGTAATAAGCACAATGTACCAAAGAATCATGGAGGACAATGCCCCTAACCCAGCCATCGATCAGACATGTAAGTAAAACAATGTTTAATTAATTGAACTACATGGGAACACCTCTCTCAACTGGCCCCTGTACCCACCTTGGCTAGCAATGAATCCATCTCTGAAACTCAGAAGGGAGAGAACTGGTGCTCCTGATCTGTGGATGACTTGTACTGGAGCCCTAGGATTCAGAATAAATAGGACAATTTTACTAGTTTTCTTCAAAAGCAGTGCTTGACTACATTCAACATACAATATTAATTACATAAAAGCAAAGAGGACAAACATAAAAGGAGTTTAAACCACATGGATATAGGGTTTCTTTCCTCATAAGAACCTAAGTGGCAGATGAAGATGATCCACTCAAAACCACCTTGGAGTAAAGACCTTCCCACTGGGGATATGAAGGTTAGTATCAGAGACTTGGAAGCATATGTCTAAATGGAACTGATGTACTGATGAGAATGTGGGGACAAGTAACCATTTTACAACAGAGCTTCAAGAAAGCAGAGAGTCAAACCCCACCATGTCCATGGAATTGCAATCCCACCTGATATTAAAGTGACAGTGCAAAGATGATGGTGATGACAATAGTAAAAAAAATTAATAGATGCCAAATGTCGAGAGACCATTTAAGGCATTTTACAGACTTTATCTCATCTAGTCAACATTATATTATGGAAAAGCAAGCATCATAAACCTCATTTTCATATGAAAACACTATGACTTAGAAAGCTTAGGTAATTTGCTAGTAAGTACAAAGCCTAGCACATGTGCACTTAATCACTATGTGTCTACATGAGGGTTGGTAAGGAGTCTCAAGAAGCCAATATGTTCTGCCAGGTTCTTCCTACTGTGGATCGGAATCACCATGGTAGAAAATAGAGAAATAGAGAAATATGCCTTTCCATGGGTGGAGATGTGCCTTTCAGCAGCATCATACATATTAATAAAAATCAATTTTTCCTATCAGGTATCCTTTAATCCATGACCTTAATGGAGTGTTGTTGTTGTTAGATACTGTTGAGTTGCTTCTGACTCACAGCAACCCTGCGTAGGGTTTCTGAGGAGCAGCTGGTGGGTTTGAACTACAGACCTTGTGGTTCACAATCCAGTGCTGATCCGACAGCGCCACACCAGGAGTGCTTTTTACCTATAATAATTCATTTAATCCTCTCCCAAACCCTCTGAGAGATAAGTACTATCTGTATGCTACATGCCTGACATTAAACCTCTGAGAGTTCCCTGAAAGTGTCAGCTTTCAAATGCTTCTTTTCACAAGCCTTCATGCTTCTGTGATCGACCAATGGAAGATCCTTCTCTTCTTTACTTCGTAACTTTCTACTCGACATGGTCCAATTGAAACCTCATTTCCTTGGTGAGGCTGTCTCATCTCCTTCCCCTTTCTTGGTGCTTCTTTAAATATCTGAGTATATCGCATCAGACAGTACCACACAGACTTTCACATGTCTCTTTATCATTAAACTGCATGTATCGCACAGGCAGAGCTTGAATCTTTTCCGTTTTTCAGTGCTCTGCACAAAACCTGGTGTTCACTCAAATCATTCACTATATACCAGCTGAACAAAAGAAGTGAAAAAAAGGAGAGATCGCTGAGACTGTTAAACCCTGGAACAGAGGGTTGTGATTATTTTCTCTGAATGTCTTTAAGACCAGGTTCAGGTCTACCTTAAGTTATTAAAACAAAATAAATTGTGGTTGTTATTAAGTGCATTGAGTCAGTTTGACTCATAGCAACCCTAAATATATGTATATGTATATATATATATATAGCAACCCTGTATATATACAGGGTTTCCAAGCAGCAGCTGGTAGGTTTGAACTGCCAACCTTGTGGTTCATAGTCCTGTACTGATCCTACAGTGCCACACTAGAAATAGAGCTGGCTTATGTATTATATAAATGTGGTTGTTCAAGCTTAGGTCAGTCCAAGTCTAATACTGAAAATTAATTGCTAAGCTCCTTAAAATTCAGAGTTCTACATAGTCACTTTTAATGAAATGTTATTTCATTATTTAATTTCCAAAGCAATCACCACAGCAAGACAATCGTGACAGTGTGATTAAGGGACCTTTTAATATGATTCCAGCAATAATAAGAACAATCAAATAACTCACACTGGAAAACCTTTATAAATAGAACCACATACCCAAGAATATGCGTGTCTAAATCAGTGTAAAGCCAATAAAAAATTCCACTCTGCAGAACACCTGCATCATGCAGACGGATGATGACTCACCTTGGACTCCTTACATCCAACTGATAAATATTTCCATCCTGTGTCCCAGCCAATAATGAAAAGCCAGAGAGAAAAGTACAGCAGTTGAAGGCATCTGAGCCAATAAAGAGGAACACCTAGGGAAAAGCAGGAGCCAACAAAATCGATTTCAAGATTAATTTGTTTCCAGGAATAAACAGGTATCAAGAAAAAGAACACTTCACTATCTTTAAAGATTTTTTTTCCTACCCAATTTACATATTCTTAAGCAGTAAACCAAGCATTATCCAACAACTGAGGAGGAAGCAATCCCAGGATTTCAGGATCCTCGGATTGGCTGAAGACTTGAGCAGTTTACATAATAACGTTAAGTACTGAGGTAGCAGTTTTCAAACTATCACCTCCCCAAAACCACTGACTCATAAGATCCCTGCCACCAAAACTCCTTTTCCTAACAACAACCTCCCTAATTTGAGAAACACTTGCAACTCACACACCTGAGGTTTGTTTCATGTCACTTCAAGCAACTTTTTGAAGGGGGTTACTTTGTAGGAAAGGACACAGGCTTAAATAAAATTTAATGAATTACAATTCCCCCGGGCTCAAACATAACAACTGTGATGATGGCATAGGACCAAGCAGTGTTTCCTTGGGAATGAGGTTGCTAGGAGCTAAAGCCAACTCAATGGCATCTAACTATAACAACTGTGTATCTGAAAAAAAAAATTACTACCTTTTCATTTATTAATTACTATTAGCTCAAACTGATCGTTTATCCCTCAAATGTTCTAAAAAGAAAAACCCAAACCAACAAAACCCTCCATTTCCCTTTGAAAGTAAGATTCAGTTTGGAAATTCAGAGTGCAAACGCAATGTTAATCACAGACATACTCCTGGCACAAGCCCTGAAAACGAAAATGTCACTAATACAACAAAGTAATGGGATTCAAAGAAAATACAAAGCCTGAGGTCAAAGCAAATCATTAAACTTGCTTGGAGGATGATGAAAGGAGATAGATGGGTACTTAACAAATCTAATCTCAGGGAAGACATGAGTTTAAACAAGAAAGACAAAAATTCAACTATTTCTTCTATAAAAGTCACCTGGTCACTAATCAATTGAGAGCCCTGAATGCAGTGCCTGAGTTCTTTACTTTGAATTCCTTTCATACTACCTCAGAGGTAGAAATGTCCATGAAGGGCATCTAAGAGAGTTAATAAAACAGTATTGCTACTAGGGTTCAGTTCATACATACATAAGTTTTTTTAAAAAAACATGTCATTGCAATGCAGATGGCTGCAAACAAGTTCTCTCTGTGATCCACTTGTCTTAGCCTTGTTAGGTGCCTTAAAAAAAAAAAAGATAGGTTTTGCGTTGTATGAAAAAAATGATTGTGAGATCAGAGCTAATATGAAATTTTTAACAAAACTCAAGTGGGTATTTTCACAAAACACTGAAACTTTGCAACAAGTTTATAGGACTGTTGCCCCCATATACCAACAGTTTTTAGATGAAATTAACATTTTAAGGAAGCTCAGGAAGACTTCAAAGATGAGCCAAGAGAGGACAGACCATTAACCTCAAGTGAAGAAACTAAGAAAGAAGTACACAGAATTACTACTGGTGCAACAGCTACTGAGGCTGGGATCTCCCATGGTTCAGCACTTTCAGTCTGAAGCAAAATTACTGGCCTCTGCAAGTTTTCAGATTTATGGATGCCGAAGTGTTGCACAAAATCAGCTAGTTCAAAGAAATAATCTTTTCACCAGTCTTTTTTTTTTTTTTTTTTTAAGGTTTTTACTGTGGATTGAGTAAAAGTTTACAGGGTAGACCATCAGTTTTACATTCAACTTCACCAGTCTTTTAAGCAAGATTAAAACTAAAGATGGTTTTATGGAATGAATCATAACTGGGGACCAGTCTTTGATTTACCAATACAATCCAGAGAGCAAGATACAATCCAAACAGTGGCTCTAAGGAGAGCTACTGGGCCAGTTAAATTCAAAGCAGAGAGGTCAGCTCAGAAGGTTATAGTGACTGTTTTCTGGCACCCCAAAGGGGTAATTTTGATAGATTTTCTCGAAGAACACATGACTGTATGGAGGCTATCAGGAAGAAGTTTTAAGAAAATTGAAAACTGAATTGTTGAGAAAAAGGCTGTGAAAATTGAGCCAAGGAATTTTTTTAATCCAAACAATGAACCTGTTCGTTCTTCAAGAGTAGCAAGGGCTGAAATTCCAAAAGAATTTCTTTGGGAAACCTTATCCCATCTACTCTATTACCTTGATCTAGCACTTTCAGACTTTTTAAAAAACTTTTTATTGTGACTTGACTGTCAGTTTACAGAGTAGATCATCAGTTTTATATTCAACAAATCATATACTATGCTTATTAGACGTATATCCCCTCCAGGTATCATCAGTTAGCAGTATTTACTCCTGTCCACTTTAACTCGCATTACTCGTTGTTTCTCCTACTACCTTCATCTTTCTTCTGTCAGCTTCCCTCCTGTTGTATACTACCTGCTTTATCACCTACAGTTAACATGTGCCTGTGCGGCGCTGTGGGTTAATGCGCTGGATTGCAAGGTCAGTTTGAACCACAAGGTCAGTGGTTCAAGCTCACCAGCCACTCCTTGAAAACCGTAAACAGGGTCACTATGTGTTAGAACTGCCTCAACTGCACACAATAATAACACCACCCTCTAGCCCATGAAGAACTCTCCCCAAACCCGTAAACGGAGTCCTGGTGTGGTACTGTGGGATAAACATTGAACCCAAAGGTTGGTTTGAACTGTAAGGCCAGCAGTTCAAATTGTCTGAGTCAGGACCCACTTGACGCCACTTAAAAAAAAAACAAAAAAACACCCCCATAACCATCATAGAAAATTTCTTTTATCAAGAAATGTTTTAAGTTTTTACAACAGTGTTCTCATACATTTGTTCTTTTTTGACTAATTTTACTCAGCATGCCCTCCGGTTCATCTGTGTTGTGAAGGCTTCTGCAGATTTATTGTTAGTCTTCATTGTTGCATAGTATTCCATTGTGTGTATGTACCAAAGTTTGTTTATCATTCTTCTGTTGATGGGCATTAAGCCTGTCTCCAACTTTTTGCTTCTACAAATAGTGCTGCAATGAACATAGATGTGCATATATCTATTCTTATTTCTTGAGGATATATACCCAGTAGGGAGTCCTGGTATGGTGCTGTAGGATAAGCACTGGACTGCTAACCATAAGGTTGGCAGTTCAAACCCACCAGCTGCTCCTTGGAAACCCTATAAAGGGTTGCTATGAGTCAGAACCAACTTGGCGGCATTTAACAACAACCAAGTAGAGGGATTGTTGGGTCATACGTTATTTCTATTTCCAACTCTCTGAGAAAGCACCATATTGCCTTCCACAGTGGTTGCACCATTTTACAGTCCCACCAGCAATGCAGGAGGGTCCACTCTCTCCACACCTTTGTCAACATTTGCTGTTTTCTGTTATTTTTTTAACTTTGCTATTAATGTTGGAGTAAGATAACATCTCATCAAGATCATTATTATCATATAATTATTGTTTGGACTTGCATCGCTCTAATGACTAATGATCATGAGCATGTCTTCATATGTTTGTTGGTTACATGAAAATATATTTCTTTGGTAAAGTGAGTGTTTATATCCTCTACCAAGTTTTTAATTGGATTGTCTGTCTTCTTGTTCATGCTCTTTATTAAAGTGCTCTGTCAATTTTAGAAAGCAGTTCATCTGATATGTCATTTTCAAACTTTTTCCTCAGTCTATGGGTTCTCCTTTTACTCTTTTGGTGAAATCATTTTGTGCACAAAAATGTCTAATTTTTAGGTAGTCTTATTTATCTATTTTGTCTTGTTTTTGTTTTCAGTTAAGTTTCATTGTGTATTTATGACATATACCAGAGCCCCTAAATTTGTCCCTATTTTTTTTT